ATGTTCTTAGACTGCTTGGGTTGGAAGCTGAACGAGATCTAAGTTAACTCACATAAACATTTGTTTATGGTAGCAGCAGGTGGGGATGAAAGCCTACTGACGTGCACGAGAAAGCAAATGCAGGATCCAACAGCCAAACCCACCAAACTTAACCGTGAGAAGGTTTTCTAACTACGGTGCGAATAAAAGATTTGTCCGCACCTTATTCTCGGTATTTCATTAATGAATTTTCCAGTGGATAATCTTAACCTTTTCGATGAACTGGCAAATCACGTGATAATATTAGATAGATAAAATATAAGTACGAAATGTAAAGACAGATGGTTGGTTCTAAGTTGTTTGCCTCAAGAGACAAAAAATAACAAATAAATAGAATTTGATAGCAACTTTGTCATTTTGGGGGATAATTTGAGAATATTGCTATTAATTTCTGCACTTGTTGCAATTATATAGCATGAGCCACACCAACTCATTTGGTTAGCTTATATTGCACTATTGGATAACCTTCACTTTGGATCTTTTACACCTCCCTGCAGAATTGCTTTTCGCAAATTGCAATTATGCCCAGGATTCGCCGTACTGCCTAGACGATCTCAATATTTTAAAAGCTTATTTAGTATACGGCCATTCACAACATACTTTGGCAGTTGTCCATAATCGAGACGGTTGCATTGTCCCTTGTAATGCATGTCGGATGCATCTCTTTTGCAGAGCTTTTGATTGAGAATAAAGAGGCTTAATTAGGGCAGCTTTTTAGGGCTAATTGATCAATGCTGCTTCATCCGTAAGCCACATTCAAGCTTCCAAGGATTTACAAGGTTGTATGATTAAGGCGTAGTTTTTGCATTATATTAATATTTTAGGATTGCTAGGAGCATAACGTGCTCGAACATCTTGGATATCCCGTAGAAGGAGCATGGAATATATTTTATGGTATTCTGCTATATCTTACCAAAAAGGAGACACCTTGCATGCATGAAAACTGCCACGTTAGCAAGCAATTCAAAATACTAAGGTATTAAATTAAATAAAAACACGTATTTCACAGCCATGAGATGATGCTAAGGTGACCGTGCTGCACACAATGGTAGGCAATAATTGTATCTCATTTCGCTAGTTTTTGCACGCATTATGGACCAGGACAGATGGTTTTGATTCGGATGGCAACTAAGAGTGGCAGTAATAACGTGTTGATTGACGAGTTTCATACAGTGCTGACCTAAATCTTGCAACTGCTTGCATATTTGTAAGCTTTTAAACCCAACAAAAACGCTTACTTCGAATAAAGATCTCAAAGACGGCCTTGTGCACGTGAGTGAAGATTCCGGTTGTGGTATCGCCCGTCCCAAATCGTCAGGGGTCATTTCTGTGCCCCTTAAGTGAACGCGTGGTGAGTGTGCCTTTAACACCATTGTACACATGACAAACCTTTCTGTGAGAGCTGTGAATGCCTTTTTTTGATCGTTCTAAATTGAGGGGGCATAGATCTTGCAACCAGCACATAATATCGCAGTTATTTCAGGAATCAGCAATTTGGGTGGAAAGGCCATTGCATCATTGATATCATTGCAAATGTCGCAACTTCGGAAAAATTATTCTGCATTGAAACTAAAACAGATAAAAACAAATTGCGAGATTCTGGGATCAGAAATCTGCACCGCCATCGAAGTGATGCGAGCTGTTCCTAAATGGTTCACTTGCACCAACGTTTTCTACCTCCTCTTTCGAGGCACTGATCAGAAGCCGAGGTAAATATGTTAGTATAGCAGGGAATCCTGTAGATAGAGTTGAATATTTTCGTGGTATATGAGCTAAAAAGTTTTGTTTGGATGAGATTTGCCCCTTTTAATAGGCGGAAATGAGTTTGACCTTTTTGGGGATACAAATGGAATGCATCACAACTTCTTTGATGCTTTGGTGTAATTTGAGGCATTCGTTCGCCACTTTCCTGCAAATCTTCATTACATTTACAAAGGTTGTAAAGTTTTTTTTTCTCACTGAGTGGATTAGCTGTATATCAGTCACCAAAATGGATACATTCCGTTACATGATCTTTTTGAATTGATGCTGAAGCTCTAGAGAAATCCAATGGCCTAAACTGAATATTTTGAATATTAAACTGAATAATTTGTTGACAAAGAGTAGCATTTAGTACTGCCATTGTGGGACGGATTTTAGTTAAACAGGCTACAAAATCTACGTCTCAAGCAATTCAAGCTTGGCAAACTTCTTTAAAATGCAATAAACTGTCTGCAATGTTTTATAAAATATTGTGCTCTTTTCGACATATCAAGTAAATGCAAACATGGGAGCCAAAACCCCTACTTTCTCCCAAGTATTAAAACCCGCATCACTGATATTTATTAAATGAATCGTATTACTACTGATTATCATGAGATACGAATCAGTGGTGATAGGCTTTAAGTAAAATCTCAACTAAGAAACCATTCTGAAGGAAAGAAATAGAAAAATTATAACATATGGGGAGTTAATAAAAGATTTCATCACAGTGTGCATGTTTTAAGGGGTTTAGTATTAGCTTAATAACGACCTTTTTGCATTGAAGTTGTTTTGATTTTAATTGCAAGAACCTGATCTGCTGAAATTATAGCAGACAATAAATAGAAATAAAGCAATAGCTTTTTAAAGTATTTAACAACTCAGAACTACAGCATCTTTACGCCGAGCCTGTAACTTCTCAAACCTTTATAGCACCAAACTTATTCACGGAATGTGAGCTCTTTGCAAGTATACGGTGATAGTAATTACGCCAAGCTGTCTGTCCTCAATGGCAAACTACATACAACTTTGAGTTTTTAAATAGAACAAACTAATCCTACCAAACTAAATAAAAATATTTATTATGTTGACAGGAAATCAAACCCATTAGTCACAAAATCTACAGGCCCCATGGCAGAAGAGCCATCCTATTTCTTGGCAACATACAAATGTTGTGCGAATGCACTTTTTTCTTCACCTTTTTAAAAGGTAAAAGAAACTGAAAGAGACTGAAATGAATGGGTGCAAAGTGAAAACTTAGTAAATTTACAGTGCTCTCTTAAATGAGTCTA